ATGTTGATTTCCATGTGCGTCTCTACCTAAAATTGTCCCCTTCTTCTGGCAAGATAACTATTGCAGGAATGAGGAGTACTGTTGTAGTTCAAAAGCAGGTGCATGAAAAAAAAAAAAGATCTGTTGATTCCTCTCATCAATTAACTTTTATTGTAAATACATCTGTGCTGCCAAGACATCTCTTTTAACATTTAGAGCTGATCTATGCTCCTTCCTTTCCAGTAAACCCGATAAACAGAGAAAATAAAGAAAATCCCAAACAAAGAAATTGCTAAAATAATCTGTTTCAGATGGAGCAGTTCAGTATAAAACAATATGCCCTCTGTGTTTTAATTGGAGGAACATGGAGCTTAAACTTTGTCTATATAACATCTAAAAACTCAGCAAAACACATCAAAAAGGCCTTTCAGAGATGATCATTTTCCCAAAAATCGTGGTGTGTTTGGAAAGATGTAGGAAAAAGCAGGCATAATTATTTTGACCACCATGTCATTTGAAATGGCATTAGCAATAACAAATCAGAAAACAATATAAGATGAGAACAAAGATAAATTAAAGGGCTTATGTTTCATGGTTAAAATGATTGGGAATGAAGCCATGTGTGCATAAATCTCAGCGCTGATGTACGTATGTGCATTTCATGGGCAGCGAAGTAGCTTACCATGTGTGGGTATGTGCACATGTACACATCTGTGTGTGTGTGGTGGGCGAGCTGAGGCTCACCGAACGAGTGTTTGTGTGTAATCATGTACGTCAGGCCGTCATGAATGGTGTGTTTGAGACGGAGCGGAGTGTGGAGTTCCTTGGGCTGGACCAAATTGGAAACAGAAAAACAAACATTCCCTAGGAACCCCCGCTCTCCACCTTCCACCCCGCCTCCCACCGTCTGCTGGCTAGTGGCGCAGTCCAACCTGTCTGGAACAATGTAATGTTCTATAGTCAGACTGGACCACACACGGTCTTCTCGGGGGGCGCAGGAGGTGGTGATTGTGGCTTCTGGGGGGGTATGGGTGGGGGTCTTAGCCACAGTGACAGTTGGAAAAGCAGACAGAAGAAGCATTTAAAAATGACAGGGAGCTCTGCCGACGGATTGATAGGACTGACGGCTTAAGTGGAAAACTGAGACAGAGAAGCTGGAGTTACACAAGCAGCGACGTTAAAGTAGTTTAGGATGAAAAAAGTGAGATAAGTCTTTGTGGAGAAATAAAGAGAGCACACAATGCAAAATAAAAAGCAGCGAGGCAACGGATGACTGTGATTAAGTTAAATGACTAAGCAGGAGCTGAACTGAGTCAGAGCTCCAGAAGGAAAAATATTTAGTTATGCTCACTCCTTTCAACCTTTTCTTTCTCCTTTCTTTTCCTGTTGTTCTACTAATCAGTAAGTAGCTTCCCTGTTTTCCTCTCTCCCTCTCTCTGCTTTCCCTCACAGCTTAAAAAAACATTCGTACTTTCTCGCAGCTCTAATAGCTAATACTATTATGTGGTCAGACTTGAGACAACAGGAAGCATGTGTGCTGGTGTGTGTGTATTGCTTCAGAGTCAGGATATTATAGCCTAGAGAAATCATCAGAATATAATCCTTTGTGGCAGTAATTTGGAATTTATAAGCTGATGTGTGATTTGTTTAGAATATTGTACAGTGTGTTATTAAAGCAGGAAGGACATATATGGACATTTTATTAATCAGAAAAACATGTTTTTTGTTTTCATCCTTTTTACAGAATATGACTGTTTTAGGATGGGAGAGTCTAAAATGACTCATAATTTCATATGTGAATCATAATGGTTAGATTTCCATTTTTTTTTTTCCATATAAAAACAGGCCGTTCCTGGTGTGTATTTCTATTTGTGGTGCAAACAAAGTTAGAGCTGCATGTGGAAGTGGTCAGGAGCAAAGGTAAACCTCTGAGTGGGGATTCTGGGATGAGAACACTATCCATTTTCATCCCTTTCATATCCTACGTTGCATAATGCATATGTAGCGAGTTTCAAACAATGGACGACTCTCTTTAACTCTGCTGTGTGTATGTTTAGAAACTTGTCTAACCCACCGTTGATATGTTGTACACTGCAGAGTACACGTACATTTATCACACTTTACAACCAGAAATTTGAATGTTTTTCTTTTTACTTTTATGCGGTAAACCAACCCAGAGTAGCACAAATGGTGAAACAGAAGGGAAATGATACATGGTTTCTTTCCTGCAATATCCCTGAATAAAACCCAGTGCTGCTGCTGTGTGAAGGTCTCAGAGGTTTGTTATAGGGATGCACGATATTGGGATTTTGCCCGATATCCGATATGCCGATATTTTAAAACTCATGTAGCCGATAACCGATACCGATACCGATGTTAATCTGGACAAAAATAAGTAGTCATTGAAAATAGCAGTTTTGTTATCCATTTCTGACACTTTGAAAAATAATACTCAAATATATTTTCATATGCTGATATCAAATTGATTTTTAAAAATGCGGTATCGATCTATTTTACTTTCGAAATCTCGTGAAATTTCATCGTTCTGTTACAAACTCTCGTGATATTTTGCAAATTCCTGTGAGATTTTGTTAGTAAAATAGATCGATACCGCGTCAATATATCAACATATAAAAATATAGCAAAATTTCGTAGATTTTCGGGGGATTTCGTAGCATGACGATGACATATAGCAATATTTCATTAGTAACAGAGATTGATATGGTGTTTTTAAATGGCAATGTATCAGCATATGAAGATATTGTGATATTTTAATGTATCAATATTTTTTCCCTTGTCTTTAGAAGTTTTTAAGTCTGTAAAAAATAAGTTTTTGAGGAAGAAGTAGTAGTATTTTATTTTATTGTTTTTTAGACTTTAGAAACTCAGAAGCTGATCAAATATCGGGTTAAATATCGGTGGGGTGGCTGATATCCGAAATTCAGTTTTAAGGCCAATACAGGCCGATACAGATAGGGGGCCGATTATATCGTGCATCCCTAGTTTGTTAGGTAAATTTACTGAACTGAAGATCAAGGAAAACAGCAGACAGGTTTAGGGGAGATTTAATCACAAATTCAGACAAGTGTTAGATATAAACAGTGTTAAAATACTTGGACTTTGAAAGTGGAAAGAGTATTGCACAATTGTGAACCCCCCTGGACAATTGTCATTCATCAAGAAGCAGCAAAGAGGAGCTGCACAGCTCAGGTGGGAGAATTCTTTATTTAGACATAATTAAATGTGCATACAGTAAAGGGTTACAGAAAGGTTCTTTACTTAGATGAGGTCAGCCCAACAGACTATTCCTAGAATTAAAGTTTGTGGCAGCATCATGGGATGTTGAAAGAAAACTTTGAGCCATAGCATAAGACTTGAGACTGGTTCTTCCAGCAGAATACTATTGTAAACACACACCCAGAGTAGGGCTGAACAATATGACCAAAACTTCTATCTCAATATGTGTCTTAGTATCAGTCGATACTATATGTTTCTGAAAATGATAGAAACAATATAAATGCCTAAAAAAGATGCCAAGAAAGCCAAAAACAATCATACAAAATAATATTTTAGAAATAATTGTAAAAAAAAAAAAAGGACAGATTTTTTTGGAGTTCATCAAAATAGTTTTTTTTCCTTAGTTTCTTTTTCATGATTAACCTCCATATATAAAAGAAGACAAACATGCCTCAAAGATTATGTTCACAAATAACTCAGGATGTATTAAGAAAATACAGATTAAAGGTGAACGGTTGATTCTTTAAAAGCTAACTTTTAAAACTTATAATTTTATGCAACACTTTACAATGAGTTCTTTTTTTTAAAAATCATTCTGTTAAGATTTTTCCCCCTATGTCTCAACGATGCTCTAGTCTTCACAGTGTTCTTTTTTTGAAAATAAAACCCATGTTTATTTTGCACTTCTAAAAACAAAACAGATCCCAGCCAATTTTATTTTACTGAGGCACAACAAACCTCTACAACACCAGTAACTTTTTCTAGCATGAACCAAACCTGTATCTCAGCAAAAATGAGCTCAGTCAGAAAAAAATGAATCAATTCACACGTCCCATAACGTCACAGGATATGTCTAGGTCGGTGGTGACAAGCTTTTGCTCTCCTTTTATTTAACGGCTGGGCTCAGTTCTTCTACCCTGACTGTAAGTTGAAGCTGCACAACCAGCTGTTGCCTTACGAGTATTATGCTTTCTACTCGGTCTGCAACAATTAATGGGATTGATGGTGATTAATCAATTATTGAAAAAAACATCAACTAATTTAGTAATCGATTAATCGTTAAATAGAGTATAGAGACTCTAAAACATGCCTTTAGCTGGTAGTGGTTTAAAACAGGGTTTTCTTACAATAAAATGAAGCAGAATGAGTAAAGAGTTTTTAGTTTTAAACTGCTTGTACGACTGTGAGAGCCGTGGTACAAGCAGGCAGGGTGGGAGTGATTTTTGTGGTTGGGGCAACAAAAGGGGTGAGCCGAGAAGAGTGTGTGTTTTTAATGCTAGAATTACAGAATAAAGGAAATGTAATTGTCAGTGGTCATGGCTACTGGAAATTTGATATGGAAATCCCTGGAAATTACTCATTAATGACCGCCTCGTTCGGACTCATGAAGCAATCAATATTGAAATGGAGTCAGTAATACTTTAGAGAAAGTGAGACGCTGGATTCAGTTGCGACTAAATGTTGATACAGGCTGTTTGTTTTGTCCACCATCATTTATCTGCACCGCTCTCTATGCTCTGACTGTTTTTTCTTTTCAGTACTTGAACTGATTGAGCTATAATTGGGGTATTTGCTTGAACATTTCCAATACATTCACACAACTACGTTTAAGTAAATTCACATTTAGCTAATAAATTTCTGTATTAGCTAAAGGTGATAGAGTTTCTGGGCTTAGACTGCTTTAATATTAAGTGTTTGCACTGAAATAAATTACAGGCCATAACCTCTATTTTACATTGTCAAATTTTCACTAAGATGTTTTCTTTTTTTCTGTAACTTTCCAGGTTAAGGTGGCAGCTGTGATTGAAGACCTAAAATAATAAGATGACAGGATAGCAGAGCAGCATTTGTCACCCAGACTTGAGCTGAACAGAAGCTACCATGACATGTAGTTAAGCAGAAGAGGTACTGCAGCTCTGGACCAAACGTAGCTGATGTGTCTCCCAGTAGAGGATCTTTCTAAACACAAGACAAAGAAGCTTAACCTTCTCTACTCTGACAATCAAGGACCTGTAAGGACTCAGGTGGACCTAAAGAGATGGAGGGCTACTAGTAAACCCGGTGTCTGCTTTTCATTGCTTCCGTTTGGAGTAAGAGAGGAACTGCAGGCGAGCCGTGCTACTGGACCGAGCGGGGGAATCGAACTCATAGAGCAAAACTGAAGCCAAAGCCAGGAGTCGGCAATGATCCTTTCATAACCTGATGAACAGCGCAGGTATAACTTGTTTATTTTTAACTGTCAAATGTCTTTTTTAATGTTCTGGTTACAAAATAATGCAAAGCTCTGTTTTAATACAAAAGTACTAATATATTAAACTCTGTTTTTTTTTTTTCAATCTAAAGGGAAAAATGTTTTAATATTTCTATAATATCAAAGAAGCTTAAGTTTTGATTGACATGTCTGCTTCTTAGAGCTTTATCGTTTTGTGGATTAGCATGGCTTCCTTCTAGTGAGTTTAGATGACAGTTCACAGCATGAAGCTTTATGTTTTTATGCTGAGCAGCAAAGCACGATGACACACCTGTCATACTCATACCTTTGAAGGAAGTGTCTGTGCATTGCCTCTAAACGTTACATGTGCTGGGTTTCAGTATTAACATTTGTACATAATGGGGGAATCTGTTTTTCTACTGCTTAGTAGATTAGAGATCACATTCATGAAATGTTGCAGAAAGTCTGACATTATATGGCAGAACTAGTGACTCATAGCCAGACATTAGCTGCTCCTCCATCAAATCTGTTCTGGTGCATTCCAGTTCAGTAAACCCCATTAGCAGAGCTCATTAGTTCCTCACGGTGAAAATTAGAGGGAATAGCTTTATCAACTGGTTGGCCAGTGCCAAATATGTAAGTAATGGTTAAGTGGCGTGATATAGACTCAATCTGTTTGATAATTATTGGTGATTGTAAGCCCTTCATGATGATAATGTGTAACCTTTTTGCTATATAAGGACACCTTATTTTAATTTAAACAGCCTTACATGTTTGAATTGTTGACTTTTTTAGGCATGCAGGGAAGAATGCACTGACACCTTTGCAAGCTGTTATACTACAGGAAATGCAAATGCATACAGTGGAGGTTATTATGTATGTGTGATCACATACTCCTCTCCAGTGGTTTGTGGAGAGGAGTATGGTAATTATAGTTGCATTTGCAGCTTCTGCAAATCCTTTTGTACATTTTTTTTTTTATTTCTTATATAGCAAACCTTCATTTTTGTGAGTCATGGATTAATGGGCCTGTCCACGTTTCTATGTAGTGCTTTTGTATACTTTTTCAAAGATTTTGATGTTCACCTATAGGACTTTTAATGGTCTGACACCTTCTAATTCCTCTGAGCTCTTACACGTGTATGTTACCTCTCTGATTTCAGGGCACTGGTCCTCATAAGATTACTAAAGCTAGAATAAAAACTGCTAGTGCATTTACTTTTTTTCCTTAGCCCCCCATCCTTCTGGATCAAGATATTAACCAGACATGTTCTATGAAGATTATTAACAGTTACTTAACAGTTCTTGTCACCTCAGAATCAGCTTTACTCATAAAGTTTGTGCACACACACAATGGGTTGACTTAGTTTCTACTTTGGTCTCAATGAAGATATTAAATATCGGGTCAGAGACTTTAAAAGCAGTTTTGTTTTTAATTCTGTCCTGCAGATGCATTAAACACCAATGTGTTCTGCCATATTTGGGCCATGAGTTCATTACCAATATTATTTACTTTAATAGACGTTTGGAGTTTTACCAAAGATCAGACAAAGGTTAGGGTCATGTACTTTTATGCTTAAATGGGGATAAAAGGGGAATTGGTTAATTTGATTCTGATTTTGGAACCATTAACTCCAACAAAGAACCTGTAACACTTTTTTAATGTGTTAGAGTCATTTAATTATCTCAAAACAATGGAAAAAGAAATGGATTAGACAGGTCAGGCCTTAGGCACTACCAAAACTAGTTATCAGCGTGAAAAATAATCCTTTAATCTTTATTAACATCGAAAAACTTGAACTCGTTGTTATTAGGAAATTTTTTCCAGTTTAACTCAAATTCTTTTGAGACAAACAGTCTAATAAATTCTTCCTAAATGAAAACAAGAACTGCTGGGGAGATGACACGGCACTTTTAGTTTGGAAAAATGATCCATTAACTGCACAGAAATACGTTCCGGGGATCATTTGATCATTTGTCCTCTGTTGTTGTTTTTTTTTTTAAACAGTCGGAATCAAACTTTTGTGAGTTGAGGGGATCGTCTTTTGAATTAATGTCATGATAAATTATTAGTGTTTAAAGTTTGAGTAAACGCGGTGACTATTTTGCGCCCCTGAGTGAAAGCATATGTGGGTCTATGATAGAGTTAGTGCTTGTATGTTTTTCATTATGTGGTACAGTGGCTTTGCTTGGTGATGTTTTTCAGTAGGGTGGATTGCTTTGAGCCGCTTGATGCTTTTAGACGTGGTTTTGATTATGTGTGTCCAACTATGTCCCTGCATGTGAATATGCATTCCTTCAGATGTGGACTCTATATGCAGATGTTCAAGGATGCAATCTTTTGTGTGTGTATGTGTGTGTGTGTTATTGTTTGTCCATCTGAGTGTGAACCAGTTTTCTTAGATTATGTGCAAAATGAGGTTCGTTTGTCATAAAGTTAGGACATTTAAGGCTTATGATGAGGTGTGAATTGAGTTTAGTTTAAGGTTAAACTTAAGAGTTGAAAGTCACTGAATGGAAGTCATGGTCCTCACTATATGTAGCAAAATGAAAATTTGTATGTGTTTTTGTTGTGGTATTAAATGCTCTTTGATATGCCTATTTTTTTTAAGACTTGCCCAAAACTTGGAATGTTGAACGGAGATAATTTTATCATTCCCACAAAGCAGTTGACTGTCTTTCTGCTCACAAAGCTGTTTGTTTCTGTGTTGTAAAAGAAACTGTGTTCTTTAAATTGCCCCCTCACCCCCCCACCCTTTTTTTATGAAGTACATTCCCTTCAGAGCCTGAAGTCAAGATGTCAGCCTTTAAACGTCAGCTACCTGTTGACCTATTTGCACAAAATATGTCAGAGGATAGCTCATTGTGTGCTGGATGATCTCATCTCTTTGCAGCTTTGCAGCAGGAGATATCACTTTTTGTTTTCCCACAACCACCTTTTTTGCTGTCAGCATATCACTGTGTGCGGTTCCCCAGAGACAAAGCCGTGACCGCCCGCCAGCTCGTACAAAAGGCACATGAAGGCATGACCACATGCAACACAGTAAACCCCATCTTTCTGTTTTTCATAATCCAAAACAACAAATAGCTCTAATTCAATCCAACTACCAGCTATTAATTATCCAGACAAAGATTTATAATGGGGGGGGTTTCACCACCCAGCATGTAAGTGAAAGGCTTCATTTATTAGTTTGTTAGGGATCCACTCATTTAAAGGACACAGAATCAATCAGATTAGCGATTAGAGTGGCATATGTGTGTTTAATCTGCTGTCTCAGTGTGCTTGGATTGACCTGAGATGATATGCGATGATGTCACATTCTTTCTTTACAACAGAGGGTTTTTGATTCAACCAGTATGAGCTAGTGTGACTTTTCAGATCATCTAATAGCCAGTAAAAGTTGACTTATCAAGCATTAAAGAGCTGACTTTTGGCTTATTTTTAACGTTTTTCTATAAATGCATTAGTCAAGACCTTATAAGTGCCAGTGCTTTAAGCAAAATGTTAGTCCAGATTGCAGAGAAAGATAGAAAATGGCCGGCATCACACTATATTATGTATTCAAATGTACATAATGTTGCAAAAACCTAGAATTCTATGTCTCAAAATTAAAAATGTGTGCAGATTCTGGTATTTAGTTTTAAAACTGTTTACCTCCTTGTTGCAGCATCATGTTTATTTATTTTAAATGAAGGCTAAAAATCTTGTCTGTAAATTAATTGGATGTTCCCTCCATTTTAAAAAGCAACATGGAGTTGTTTATTAACCTGTTAATAAAAGTTTTTCCAAGTTGAGGGGGAAGGTGATCTGTTGTTCCTCTCAGAAAATAATTGCTTCAAAATATATTTGCTTGAAGCCAAAAACGCAAGGCTGGTCTTCTAATCTTTTATCTCATGGTTTCTTCTATTCAGGAAAGAAGAAACCTTGAAATGAATGAACAGAAATGAGCTGATCTACATGTGCAGCCTCTTCCTTGCTACTTTTACATCTACTTCTTTGTTATAAAATAGCTTTTTGGTGTGATCTCTGTGTCTCTGTTTGCAAACATACATACAGCTTTCATGTACACTCTTCTCTGGGTGTGCACACATTTGGGTGTGTGCTCTTATTTTTGTTTGGTTTGCCCAAAAACTTGTGCTGTAGCCAAGAGAGCAAGTGTTAACAAGCTCTGCACAGACTGCATTTATTTAATCCATATGCCGGTGATGTATACAGCTGCGTGCTGCTCCTGGTGTGACTGGGAGGAAAAATCACTCTGCAGTTTCTGCCTTGTGCGAGTTAGAAAACTACTGCAAAGTCAGCCTGACTGTGACTGCTTATACTGACAAAAAAGTGTAATGAGATTGTTTTTCTTTTACTTTTAGCTGAAAGGGAATGTTTTGTTATATTTAAATCTTTCCCTGCATGCACTGTTTGTGGATTTATTCTGTATCAGTATAAGCAACTCCTACCTATATCTCTGTAGATCACTGTAAAGGTTCAAGCTGAAGTATGGTGAGATCCAATTTTTGAGTTTTGTTGCATATAATACGCTTTAGAGTTCCTAAACAGTTAATTAAAAAGGGCCAGAACCTGGCAGCAATAGCACCAGACAACTGGGACTGTAGTGCAACCAGGTACAGCATCCAGGCAGTCTGGCAGCAGCAGAACAACCTGCCAAAATAAAAAAAAACACGTAGCTGGGAGCCGAAAGATACTTACAATTTGTAGTTTGCTCACATTTATTTGCTAACCAAAGCCAAATGTAACTAGAGTCAGTTTGTCATGTCTCGCCAGGCTTATTTGACTGTTTTTCCAGTAGCAAGGGACCACCGATTGGAAAAAAGGGGAACACAAACCTTAGGATTGAAAGAAAAACCTCAAAGCAACTTACATAAGGCAGATGTTTACTCAGTGTTTCCTTTAAATATACAGGTGCTGGTCATAAAATTAGAATATCATGAAAAAGTAGATTGATTTCAGTAATTCCATTTAAAAAGTGAAACTTGTATATTATATTCAT